AGGTCAACCATTAACTTTTGCTAAGAAATCCCAAACACTTCTTTTGCCTCTTGACACTGAACCTTCTGTGTAAATAATCAAATTCTCTGAGCGAGCATTATCTTGAATTAATTGCTGAATTTTCACCTCAGTAGCACCTGCTGGCCAGTCTCTGCATTCCTGGCTCAGTGTGATTATGAGCCTACACAAGTCTGACTGTTCAGGTGGCACTTTGACCCACTTCTCTCCTCGCCTAATGTTCTCAAGGATGCAAACCTGTCTGATTGTGTCTTCTGTCTGAGCTATACATGACCTCCCTCTTATCAGCCGCTGACCATTAACTGCACCCTGAGCTTCGCGCAAAGGGTGGTCCTTGTCTGAATCTACCCTGAGATTTGACTTCGCCTGCAGCACCTTGTGTCTACCTGCAATAGTCGGTAAACCAAGGATGTATCGCATACACACAACTGGGGTGTCTCTGGTGCAACCCAGAATGACCCGCATAGCTGTGTTCTGTATGCGCTCTAGTTTGTTTATCTGACTATGGTAAGGAGTCCCAGGCCATAATCAACCAGTGACAAAATCAGGTGCTGATATAGTGTGAAAAGCATTCTCTGCTCTATGTCAATTGCAGCCATAGACTTAACTGCACTAAGTCCTTTATGGTATCTTGTCACAACACTCTCCACATGGTCCTTAAATGACAGGCTCCTGTCAAATGTAATTCCCAGATACTTCAGTTTGCTTTCTCTGTTGACGTTTTTACCATCTATCGTGAGACTTGGGACATTAGCTTTAAGGATCCTGTTGTCTAGAGAACACCACAAAACAGACGTCTTTTCGAGGTGGACTATAGCCCTCATTTCTGTACACTACTCAGTCACTTTGTATACTGTTGCTTGTAGCTCTCTGGCCGTTTGTTCCCTCTCTTCCCCCTGCCTATATGCAAGTATATCATCTGCAATAGTCAGTATCTTTCCAACTCCTGGTGCTTCTAGGCTTGCAATCTTGCTCGTATACACGTTGAAAAGCACAGGCAAGATGGCAAATCCCTGTGGCAGTCCTGGGACCAAAGTGCATGGTTCTGAGGTCCATGAGCCCAGTCGGAGAGCAACCTGATGTGAATTCAGGACAGCTGCAACCCAATTCACCAGCCATGGACTGACCTCCTTCTCCTTCATTGCAGTCATCAAGATTTCATATCTTACTTTGTTATAAACATCCTCGCGATCCAGTGCTACCGCCATAGTTTTCTGTCTGTTTTAGAACTCTTCGTAGAGGTCGAAAGCAAAAGTGGCTGCATTTGCCCAAGTGTCCTTTCCTGGCCTGTAACTTCCCAGACCTCTTGGGAGAAGCTTCCCCCTTTCCAAAAATTCTTGCAGCTTTACAGAAACTATCTTCTCCAAGACCTTCCCAAATGTGTTTTGTAAGGTGATGATTCTAAAGCCACAGAGCTTAGAATCAGTCACCCCATAACTGCTCCATTCCTGTGCCGAAGAAAACCAGGTAAGATGTCTATAACTGAGCCAAAATTGTGCATTAACTTTCATTTATGCCTGACTGAGATATTCGCACACTGGTCAATTTGACAATAACTGCTGTGTAGACTCTAAAATAACATTCCATTATAAAAGAATCCAAGCTTCAATAATCCTGCCATAACAATGACACATACCCAGTCTATATGTCACACATCAATACTATTACCATACATCCAGAGTGTACATGACAGATATCCAGGCTATGTGACCAATATCTAGTGTGTATGACAGATATCCTGAGTATATCCAGAGGAAATGGCAGATATCCAGACTATATGGCAGATATCTAGAGTACATGGCAGATATCTAGAGTACATAGCAGATATCTAGAGTATATGACAGATATCTAGAGTATATGGCAGATATCTAGAGTATATGGCAGATATTCAGGCTATATGACAGATATTCACGGCCATATGACATATATCCAGGCTATATGACAGATTTCTAGAGTATATGACAGATATACAGGCTATATATCAGATATTAAGGCTATATGATAAATATTCAGGGTATGAAATATCTATTTTATATAAGAGATATCCAGGCTACATGACAAACATCCAGGCTTATGACAGATATCCAGGCTATATGACAAATATCCAAGCTATATGACAGATATCCAGAATGGCAGATATCCAAAGTATGATTGGTATCCAGGCTATAAGACAGATATCCAGGGTATCACAGATATTCATGGTATATGACATATATCCAGGCTATATGGCAAATATCTATATGAAAAAAATCCAATGTATATAGCAGACATCAAGAGTAAATGGCAGGGTATATCCAGAGTATATGGCAGTTTGCTTTTTTGCACTGGAGTATCCATTTGATAGAGTCTATATCCAGAGTACATGGCAGATATAAAGAGTATATGACAAATATTCAGGCTATATGGCAGACGTCCAGGCTATATGACAGATACTCAGTCTATATGACAGACATCTAGCTATATGTCAGATATCCAGACTATATGACAGATATCCAGAAGATTTGGCAGATATCCAGAGTAAATGACATATTTCCAGACTAAATGACAGATATCCTGAATATGTGACAGACATTCAGACTTTATGACAGATATCCAGAGTATATGACAAATATGCAGGCTATATTACAGATATCCAGGCTATATGAGAGCATGTTTTGTTTATTACCATTGGACATAACATCACAACGGTCGCTCCATAGAAGCTTCTCATTTTCAAACTTTGTTTCTGCTTAATACTTTTAGGAAAGCAATTCTGAACAGTGAGAACAGTATAACAAACTTCAATTATTGGTGTGCTATGAAATGACACCAACAAAAACCACTAACAAATACACAAACAGAAGAACCAATAGGTTAAAAAAGTGCACACAAAAATCAAAATAATAAAGCATATGATCAGGAATAATTAATGGTAATCAAGGATGGTTTGTAGGATAATTCAAGAAAACCTAATAACTTTAATACTACAATCATGTCACAGCAAACCTTAGATATTCAACAATTCTCACACTACAATCATATCAAGACAGGCCCTTGGAGACATTTCAACAATCTTCACACTACAATCATATAAAGACATGTCCTTGGAGACATTTCAACAATCTTCACACTACAATCATATCAAGACATGCCCTTGGAGACATTTCAACAATCTTCACACTACAATCATACCAAGACAGGCCCTTGGGGACATTTCAACAATCTTCACACTAAAATCATATCAAGACAGGCCCTTGGAGACATTTCAACAATCTTCACACTACAATCATATCAAGACATGCCCTTGGAGACATTTCAACAATCTTCACACTACAATCATATCAAGACAGACCTTTAGAGACATTTCAACAATCTTCACACTACAATCATATCAAGACAGACCTTTAGAGACATTTCAACAATCTTCACACTACAATCATATCAAGACAGACCTTTAGAGACATTTTAACAATCTTCACACTACAATCATATCAAGACACGCCCTTGGAGACATTTCAACAATCTTCACACTACAATCATATCAAGACATGCCCTTGGAGACATTTCAACAATCTTCACACTACAATCATATCAAGACAGGCCCTTGGGGACATTTCAACAATCTTCACACTACAATCATATCAAGACAGGCCCTTGGAGACATTTCAACAATCTTCACACTACAATCATATCAAGACAGGCCCTTGGAGACATTTCAACAATCTTCACACTAAAATCATATCAAGACAGGCCCTTGGAGACATTTCAACAATCTTCACACTACAATCATATCAAGACAGACCCTTAGAGACATTTCAACAATCTTCACACTACAATCATATCAAGACATGCCATTGGAGACATTTCAACAATCTTCACACTACAATCAAATCAAGACAGACCCTTAGAGACATTTCAACAATCTTCACACTAAAATCATATCAAGACATGCCCTCGGAGAAATTTCAACAATCTTCACACTACAATCATATCAAGACAGACCCTTAGAGACATTTCAACAATCTTCACACTACAATCATATCAAGACACGCCCTTAGAGACATTTCAACAATCTTCACACTACAATCATATCAAGACAGACCCTTAGAGACATTTCAACAATCTTCACACTACAATCATATCAATACAGTCATGTCACAGCACATTGATGGAGACAATTCCAAAATCTTCACACCCCAATCCTATCAAGGCACATTATTAGAGACCACTTCAACAGTCTACACAACATGAATGGTAACAATTCTATCCTTTATTTTTGTCACAAATTTTGACTGACTGACTGACTTTCTACTCCATAAAGGATGACATCACACAAGCGATAAACACCTGATGACACAAAGTGCCACCATGTGGATGATGAGGATCACCCGTGGAGAGGTTCTGGAAATCTCGTTCACAGCCATAAGACCATATTTATAAGTAAAGTAAAGTAAAGATCCCTTTTCACGCCTTTAGGTGCATTGGGCATATGGGAAGAGCACCAATATTTTTACAGACCAATCGGTATTAGGACAGCCATCCTGGTACCCATTTTAGGCTGGGTCCACCTGCAACGTCCCATACCATGATAAAACTCCATGCAGCCAGCAGTGAGTTTTGATCGCGGTACATTGGGATTACAAGTCGGACTTGCAACGCCTAAGCCATGGACATCGCTGACCATATTTATGGTCGGGCTATATTGCCGCCCCTGGCAAGAGCCAGGATGGGGCTTCAAAATAGCAAAAAAATTGCATCTCACAAGGGGATGACTAGTGTGTAATTAGTCACAAATGTTGTCAGGTGACACAGTAAATATTGAAAAATACTATCATGATTTAATAACAATGCCTTCTAACTATTCGGCACCATGTTTTTTTCATGATTCCGCACTTCTGTTCTGCTGGAACTGTTTAATTAGAAACTAAGGATCAAAATGTTAATCACTGATTTATGATGATGAATGTCTTCAAATGTAAAATAAATATAATAGGCTGCTGGTACTAATCATGGTTGGAGGCAACTCTTGCTGTCAGCATTCTCTCTTTCTCAAGTTCTTTCTCTAAATTATGTGCCCTTGTCAGCTCTTCTTTCTGTTTCTGCTGCTGAAGTTTCAATGCTCGTTTCTAATTTAAAAAAAAAAAAAAAAAAAAAGGCACAATGAAGTTAGATTTTTATTACTGATGTGTTCATCAAGAGAATCATGAAAACAAATGTATTCTATGTTTTTCAGTGGCTCCAAGATTAACTAGTTAAGTAATGTTTTTTCGCAAAAGGGCTTCATTTTTTGACTACAAAATTGACCTACGAATGGCTAGTAAAAATCATCACAGCCAAAGAAGAAATGATATTTTTCACCAATTGACATGTGTAAGTATTTTAAGTTTTCATGCACGCCAGATAAATGTAAACACTGGTTCATTGTTTGTCCCCAAGATCAAGCTATAAGGTGGTGCTTGGAAATTTCCCAGATGACCAGTTTGAGGACAGTGTAGAATAGCTATCAAAAGAGAACAACATTCTTTTGTTATGGACCGACCTAAATATTCTGATGTTACTGTTATCTCTGGCAATACATAATATATATTTTCAAAATTCCATAAAATTTCAGAACACTGTGGCCATCAATTTCTAGTATGAAGAGGATATTCTGAAGATGCTCAGTTTGTTTATGTGAATGAATGTTGCATTCACACCTTCCTGGAAGTGTTCTGCCCATCTTTTCTTCTACTCAGTATTGGATGTCAGAATTATACCTTTCTTTCTTTTAATGGGACCACCCCACAGTTTGAAAGTACTTTTAACTGTTTTACTATTTCCACTCTTAGCTGTGTGTTTCTTTAGCTAATCTATCAACATATGCTCTCTTATCTCACCTTTCACAACTTTTATCTTTCTTGTTGTAACTTTCTCTAGCCCTGATTTCTTGTTCCACTGTTTTAGCCCTGCATATAGCAAGCTTCAGAGCCTTTCTTTCCTGAATACACTGTCAAGTGGCATCACTCATCCAAGGTTTTCCATCATGCTTCTTAGTCCTGCACTAATTGTTGCTGCTTCTAAAACTGTGGTCTTTACATCATTCTATTCTTCCTCAATGCACTGATCTCCCCTCTAATTCCAGTGCTTCAATTCATCTTCATAATATTTGGTCACTGGCCACATCTGCTCCAATGTATGCTCTGACATCCAACAAAGATCGTCTATATTTGTTGTTTATACAGAGGTGGTCAATTTAACTCTTAGTCACTCTTTGTGTTGAGTGCCAAGTTAATTTATGAATATTAATATGAGCAAAGATGGCACCTCAAATTACTAGATCTGACTGCATACAAAATTCAGCTAGTAGTTCTCCATTTTCATTTATTGTGTTAAATCCTTCCTTTCCCATTGCTCTCTCAACACCTATATTTTCACTACCTTATTTTGCGTTAAAATCTCTCATAACTACCACTAGGTCATGTTAGGCTATTTTATTTACTCGATGCTGCATTTGGTCATAAAATTCATCTTTATCCTTAGTCTTGACCTCATTAGTTGGGGTATAACACTGAATGATGGTATTGAAATAGTATTCTAGCAGACATTTTGCGGTTCTGGGTGTCATCATAATGCCTACTCCTTCCTTGTATTTTTCTATCTTCTCTCCCTGCGTTTGTAAGGGAGCCAAGGTAAATTATTTTAAAAAATGCGGCATGATGCAGTTTAAAGTCAAATACTATCTCACAATCGTTTATTTCATATTATCTAACTTTATTACATTTCAGTTGAGCAGCTGTTTTTAATGTTTTTTATCTTCATTTTCTATGCCTTGGCATACTTACATTTTCTCTGCCTGGGCAAACTTCTACATCTTAATGCTTCGGTAAAGAGATGTTCTTTGTGCAGCGTCAGCTGCAGATTTATTCCAGTGCTGACACAAAAATTATCTGAGTGTTTGTATCTTTAGTTGCAATCTATCCATAGGTCTTCCTCCTTAACCCTTTCACCCAAAATGCTTAAAAAAAAAAAAAGTGGTTCACTGGAATTTCTGAAGAAATCCTTTAACAAAATTCTCTTTTTACAAAGGTAACAATAAATTGTAAAAAAAAAAATTATTTTTAAATCTACATTCCTGACATTTTGTTTCAAACTATATAAAGATTTATAAAGGTAGTAATAAAAAAAAAAAAAAAAAAGAACACAGTCATTCATTAAATTGTATGCATTTCCTGGGTCATAAAGCAAACATGTATGGGGTGACTCATGTCATGACCTCTATCAATGAGGTTTATGGGAAAATTTTTAATCAGCCCAGCTTTAAAAAAAGCTATTGGATTTACAAGGAAAACTCTCTAAATGCTGCAATTAGTTAACATATTTATATCTGGGCCAACTAAACACTAAACAGTCACAAATATAACAAACAGCTTTAAACTTGACTTTTCTAGAATATGTTACTGCAGAAATGGCAATATATCAGCATTTACAGGACTGTGTCACAGCCAGAAGTGATTAGTTTTGAGCATTCTCGGAGTGACAGTGTTAAAAAAAACTAACCCCATTAATTATGTCTGGGAATGAGAACATCCTTTCACTTAACATTTTCAAGCCACAGAGCCCTCTAAAGCTTTGTGTCCAGTTGATGGAAGCTTATTTTAATGCTTCATAGATTCTGTTTTAAATACTGTGCAATTTTATTATAAAGCTAGAAAGTACAAAGAAATTAATTATTCAAAACAATGTCTTTTCGTAGTAAATTTAAATAATGTAGACACAAACAACACACTGCACTATTTATTGCTTGGCGTATTTCTCTGTTCGCTGCATTACTACGGAATGAAATCAACATGTAATGAAACAGATTTTTTTTTAAATCCCTTAAGCATTGTCAAGTTAGTTCATACATCTCTCCACTGGAAATTCAAAATCAGCTATAAGATTACATAACTGGGTTTCAAATGGAAATGCTTTACAACAGTCTTAAGCTAGCCGGTCATCTTCACTGCTCATGTTGTCTATTACGGGTGCTCACCTTTAGTCTCTTAGACTTCTCGTGAAGGTCTGTCATCTCTTTCCTCAGCCTGAGCAGTTTACTATGATACAGCCTGGCTTTGGTCATCTGGAAAATATAAGTATCTATGGACAATTCTGTTACTTCAAATTAAAATGTTAGCTAGCAAAGCTTCACATTCCAATGTTTGCTAATACTTAAAATAAGTAATTCATGAGAAGCAGTCACTTCATTCAGGACACACAAATCATACAATCTATCAGGGGATTAGCATACCAATTCTGAACACGGGCAAAATACAAACTATGTGCAAACCCCAGTATGAACATTTTACACATATTCCATAGATGTTCTAATTATGACATTTTGCCAGGGCAGTGTCATTCATAATTTTTAGCTGCAAGAAATATTTATTGTTTGAAAAACATTCTTCTTCTAACCTTTATCCCCAACACAGCACAGACCTAATCCAACTAACTCAAAGTTGTTCTACCTGGTTTTTTTTTTCTGCCACAGTGTGTAGCTAATGCCATGTTCTCCCCATCTGTTTTTTATTGTTGTTTTTTTTTCCACTCCATTCTCTTCTCTGTGCATTTTATCACACTGCTTTTATTCCTCTGATCCTGTGGTTCAGTGCAAGGACTTTCATATTATATTATTATCAGGTTTCCTGAGTCTATGTACTATCCAATCCCAACACCTTTTCTTCATCTCTTGATTCAGTAGAATTTGTTAAGTTGCCCCCCCCCCCCTTCACTCCACATTAGTTATTTTTACACACAAATAGCTTTTCATTATTCACTTTGCTGAAATGAGCGAGGTTATTGTTTCCCAACCATTTTTGTGCAATGCCCCACCTAAGCTTTTTTAGAATTATTATGACCCCCTATGTAACTTACTCTAAAGAGTCTACTTTCAAATCCCCCCCCCCCCCCCCCCCCCCCACAATCAAACTGCCCCCTGTAGGGCGGTAGGTGCCACGTTCAGAAAGACTAGGTTAGATCTTATAATCTCGGATCAAAAGCATGTACGCCATTATTAGATTCTTTGTTGGTTAACACCTTCCACGGCCAGGCTTCAGTTCGCATCTTTTATAGTTAAAGAGACAGACATGGTACCTCTAAGGCATTCCACTAACTGTCCTAAAATTGTTGATACATGTGCCTGAGGTGCAAAATGTAATCATCTCAACTGGTTCTTGGAAATACATGTATATGCATGTACATATACTACAAAATATAATCTGAACTGAACTACACTGGTCTTGATGATACTCAGACACAGAGTACAATTATGAACTGAATCTGTATGATATTCACCTCTAGTGCACTACGATGATAATCTTAATCAAATGAATCCTGATGAACTTGTTTCAGATGTGTTATAGTAATAATATCTGTGAGTTAAAAAAAAAACCATTCACCCAGGATTGCCCCAGGAATCACCTTTATCTCCAGTACACTTTAAGATTTTCACTAGTGAAGTGACAAAATATTAAATCACAGGTGAAGGAAGAACACTCTCATACGCTTATAACATACTTGTGTACCGCGAGACAAGAATTATAAGCAGAATTGTAGAAGAACTCCAGAAGGAACTGGGATGCATAGAAGATTGGTGTTAAACCTTGGGAGCACAGATTAACCTTGCAAAAGCAACTGCAAGTTGGTTCTCTGTAAACAGCCATACAGTACACATAATAACACCCTGTGTGCATATGAATGGTGAAGATATAGCAAATATCAGTAGTTTTGCCTGAGCTTCATCTAGCACAGTTTCTATAACATTCTGCTGACCTTCATAGAGAGGATTATAAACAGTAGGAGTGATGTCCCAGTTCTCTGTCACAAGATATGTGGAGGCCATGTTGTCAGGCTTACATTTTTCAAGGCAACAAGACACAAAGTAATTGTGTAAGCATTCAGATAGATACTTTGACTTTTCCAAGCAAGCTTTGATACACAGAAGTAGAGTACTGACTCTGATATACAGTGATAGTCTGGGCTATAAAAAGACCAGCCACAACTGTGGATATCTTTTCGCTGCTTATCTTATGAAGGCAGGGCATCACATATAAGTGTGCAGGTCTTTGTCTATCTCAAAGTTCAGTGTCTAACTGTGGAATGTAGTTGTGCAATGATTACTTCCTTTAAGCAGATTCCACCCAAGGTAATAGCTCAGTTTATTCACAGACAGGTTTCCCTATAGTTTTTAAATATACAAGTTGATGAGAGCAAACCCTGCTAAATTCTGTGACTGAGGTGGAATTGTCAGCCATGTTGCTCCATTGAGGACTGTACCCCAGAACCTCTGTTTTTGTAAGCAAGAGTTCAGTCACTAAGCTACTGTGATTTTAATTTATGAAACTCTTCTTTGTATGAAAACAAACTTACTGTGTCTTTTAGATCTGTGATTGCCTGACAGTCAGTAAACTTGGAGATCTCCTGCTGTACTGTTTCTATCAGAACAGACTGACTGGATCTATGGGGAAGGATTAAAGAGGAAATCTACAGTGTGTAATCAAGGAATATACAGAGTGACTGGATTTATTGTAAAGGATTAAAGAGGGAATCTACAATTTGTGATCAAAGAAAGTACAGACTGACTGGATCTACAATGTGGATTGAAGGAATATATAGACTGAAGGATTATAAAGTTTGATTCTTCTTCTCAAAGTCCATGCCATGTGGCATTGGTAGTCATGTCTATCCATAACCTTCTGTCTCGTGTACTTTCAATAAAGTCTGACACAGACGATCCTCTGTGCCCAGATGTCAAACTGTCCAACATCTTCTCTCTCGGTCTCCCTCTGCCTCCCTAAAGTCTCATCACCAAGGACTCAAGACAGATGTACCTCTTAGGGAAAAATCCAGGCCTCCCGCCTACTATCCCAGTCACTCACCGAAGGATCGCTGATTAACCATCTTGTCAATCAGCCTCCAATACTTTTCCCCCATCACAACTTACAATTCTTTGTAATTAGTTAGTTGATCTTTGCTCTTGAGCCTAGAGCGGCATATAGAGCACAGAGCATAGCTCTCCATGTCTGGCGGTTTGTAATGCTTAACAGAGTTCCTTTTTTGGTGCAACCTAAGCATTTTTGTTATAATTTGTGAGTGTGTATGTGTGTTTGTTGCTATATTTTTTAAGCAAATTAATGTCTGCATTTTTTAAAACCAAAGCTGATGATCTAAGCAGGCTGAATGTCGTTAATGTATTTTTCTCTCGAATGGCTGGCTGACTGTCTGCATTTATTGTTATCATCCCTAAAATTTTCTTCTTAACTACACTTAATTTGTACAATCTCAGTGGTTGTTCGTTGTTTACAGGACAGGCAGAATGTGAAATAACTAACAGAAATTATGGTGTTACATTATTGTTTTCAAATGTTTTGAGCTACAACATTAAAGCGGTTTTTGGGCATCATTTTTTAAAACAGAATTCAAGAATTCAACTATAGACTAAATCATTCATCTGATTGTCATCTGGAACTCACAGTTAGTTCAGCTGAAATCTTTAATGCTTCTAAAACTATTCTCACTCAGCTCAATCAGTTTTGTTATACATATGCTGTTGGCAACTTTTCATCTTTCCGGATTACACTATGTTGTATTACATTTTGCTATATTGGGATGTATGGGAATCACAGCCCATTTTGATGGCAAAAGGGAAATGCAAGAGCAGCTAACGCTAAGAAGTCTTCTATAAGTTTACAGGATCTTAGGCTCATTATTGCCATTTTAGGTTGTCTTTTTTCTCAACTGTTTAGTTCCTAACCTCATAATCATCATCATAGTTCCTTTATACCATATGTTAAGTTGTCAGTCACTAATGACTATCTGACAAATTTGCTCAATGTCAGCCAGATGCCCTGGTCTTGATATTTGCATATTTGACCCAACATAGAATCAATTTCTCCTCTTTTTTATATTCCTCTCCTGATGTTCCCCCTCCATGCAACATGATCCAAGGCATCCTGTTCTCATTAATCTACCTCAAGAGCTCTGTCAATATTGTACCACTGAATGTCTCTTTATATCCTATAAGGGAATTTTGTGGGACTGTTTAACTGAAACAGTGAAGCTGAAACCTCTGGTGGCTAATAACACACATAAATGTTGTGAGACAAAATCTATTTGACACTTACTTTCCTGATAGATACTCTTCAAAATCAGGTCAATGTTGTGATGTAATTGCTGCTCTGCTGATTTTTCACTTTCTCTTGTATTTTCAGGTTCATTACTGATCAAGTCATGGTCATTATGACCTTCTTCTGCAGCCGCTTCTAAATGATTGTGTGAGTTCTGATCTAAAGGACTGTCAGTGTCTGTTTGTGGTGTTACATTGTTTACTTCTTGTGATGTACTGTCTATTAATTGTGAATGTTCACTTCCATCATGTGCTATGGTGACATCTGGTATGGTAGCATCATCACACTTAATGTCTCCCTCAGCAGGTGCTCCATCTGTCCTTGAAACACTACTGTCCTGATGAAACAATGGGACACAAATATTCTAAATGAAAATATTCTCAATAAAAGGACTTCATGAGGTGCTAATATTTTAATATAATTATAAAGTATAGCTCCTATGTTAGGGTAGGTGTCTTTCTTGCTCAGTGTGTTCTGGGGCAGTCCTGCCAAAAGAAAGTCAAAACCACAGACTGATCAGGGAAATTAGACACAGACAATCAACCATAGACTGATCAGGAAAATTAGACACAGACAATCAACCATAGACTGATCAGGGAAATTAGACACAGACAATAAACCACAGACTGATCAGGGAAATTAGACACAGACAATCAACCATAGACTGATCAGGGAAATTAGACACAGACAATCAACCATAGACTGATCAGGGAAATTAGACACAGACAATCAACCATAGACTGATCAGGGAAATTAGACACAGACAATCAACCATAGACTGATCAGGGAAATTAGACACAGACAATCAACCATAGACTGATCAGGGAAATTAGACACAGACAATCAACCATAGACTGATCAGGGAAATTAGACACAGACAATCAACCATATACTGATCAGGGAAATTAGACACAGACAATCAACCATAGACTGATCTGACGCTAGTTAACATCTCCCGACTTTACCTTTACCTTTAGGTGAACAATTACTTACTTTCACATAAATGTAAGATCTAAACAAGACTAGCAACCTCTTGTGGTGAAAATACCCTTTAATATGACACATCTTTGTATGGAATAAACCGTTTAGCACTGATATTATTATCTGTTGTAAACAGTTTTTTATCTCTACTTGTACCTTTTGTTGGCAAAAAATAAAATATACTAGAACTTCAATTGCTGTTTCAGATATGGAACATGAAGAATGAAAATAAGGATAGAGAAAGAAAGGTGGTTGGAGGGGGGGGGGTGTCAGTGTAGTGGAGCTATAACTGCAGAAGGAGGAGGAGGAAGCTCTAAGGAGAAGAATAGAAATGTAAGACTGAAATGTGTCGAATCTTGTTGTAGACGTTCTCAACCTAGTTAGTTTTTCAAAGGCATGTAATCCTAAATATTTGGTACTGGTTTTCTTCTTTTAAAATAATTAAATGTCGTCAGTGAACCTACATCAGCGGTGTCGACTTCAGAGTCACACTATTGTTTTAAACAGTGTTTAACTCTTTGAGTCCCAAGGAACGCATCACGCGCTAACTGGTTACTACCTGGCGGCCCAATCAGCGCGTGACGTGTAACGGTTTTTAATTTACCACTTATCGGTAATTACACGCAAATTTAAACTTCCTTTCCGGTTCTCATGTGTGTAGTGAACACACGTGGAGTGCATTTGTTGGGGTCTGGTGAGTTTTTTAACGCTTTAAATCAATATTTGTGTGGTCTACTACAGTACCAAACAATAGTCTGAAAACAATATGTCCGATCAGTAATCGTCTTCATGCCCAGCAAAGCGACTTACTGCTTTAGAAGCATCAAATTTGATAAAATCATCAAATTTGATAAAACAGTGGATCGATCTAAGTAACGTGGAGTTGGATAATGATAGTAGCGATGTGGAATTTCCCCAAACCGTTGACGAGTCAAGTTTTGATGAGGATGTGTTCGTAATTTACCTCCTGCTAAAAGGACAAAACTAATTCTGCCATGACAACACAAAAGAATAGTGGTGCTGAAGCACCTCGTAACGCGACATCAGCTAGTCCAAATGTCAGCGCTTCTAGTACTACTATCCATATCATCTAAAACCATAGATATATATCTATGAACAGGTTGACACGTTTACAGTGCCTTTACAGTTTTTTCTATGTGAGGAATTCAATTGTTTTTAGAAAAGTCACTGTTTGTGCCACTGGAGAATATATTATGACGTGTTATAGTAGTGTTATTAAAATTGCTATGGAACAACAACTATTGCACAGTTTGCTTTAATATGATGCATTTTGGATATATTATATCAAAAATTTTTGGAATCAGCTTCTGGGTAAGTGAAAAAAAACTTGTTCATAATTTACTTACCTCTTAAACTAAGTCACTGTTTAAGTTTTCTCTACTAAATACTAACTAACAGTATAATTGTTTGTTGTAGCAGTATGCTAACATTAATCCTTATCCATTTATGTTTATTTTCATGTATGATATGTGTATGTTGGACATCAGCTGCAGTTGTGTGGTTTGTGTTTTAAAGTGCTGCAGTCGTTAAAATTCAAAATCATATCCCCCCCCCCCCCCCCCCCCCCCCCTTTGGGCCTCTGATGCAAAACCCCCTGGGACTCAAAGAGTTAAATCAGTTTTTATGGAGAATCTCATGGTATGTAGTAAATAAAATTAAATAGTTTTTACTGTTAGTTCTCAGTGTACGGTGTAGTGTAGCTTCTGTCTGTACACAAACGTGTCTGACTCTTATCGTAAACAACATAAAGTACGTATATTAAAATTGCATTTCTTAATCAATCTCGGTAACGAAGTGATATCTGAACATCGGAGTTGATTTAACAGATTACCATTATTGTCAGAGTAATCCTGGAGACAAGACTTCCTTTTGTTGACAAGCTTGTGATCTACCGGAGGTTAAAGGTCAGCATCCTCTAAAAACATAAATGGTCTATCTATTATAAACAAAGAATCAAAAAATATTTGTCGTAAAATTTCATTTTTTTTTTTTTTTACTTAACATTATTTTTATCGCCAACGCTCATATCAGTGAAAATTCAGACGAGGCACATATATTTACACACTGATGTACACAAACGAATCTGTAATACACCAGCAAAGAAGCGCATGGGCGTTCACAGTACGCTCAGTGGGCAGAACAGTCAAAGAAGCCAACGGCGCCTTCTCCATGACAACCAGCAGCATGGCGATGGAGGTAGTCTGGTAATCTTGTCATCGTAGTTTCAGCTTCATAGCGGTCACCCGGTAGTTGTTCCGCTCCTGTGCCAAAGAAAAACACACATAATGTTTATCACAGTCCATTGTGGAAAGATTGACAGACTGCTGTC